TGGCGTCTATATAGACTAAAACACCACATTAAAAAAAAAAAAAAAAAAAAAATTTCTTAGTTCAAGCCATTTAGTGTACACCATTCACTTTTTTTGCAAAAACATATCTGCATATCTGTTTGAAAGAGAATTATAAGCAACAAATAATAATAATAATAATAATAATAATAATTATTATTATTATTATAATAGAGGTGTTTATTTTCTGACCTGTTCCATCCTCATTTGAGCCTCCACAACCTACCCTTGTAGTCTGACAACACAATGCTGCAGCATAAAAATTGGGATAAATAAGATATTTAAAAAAATAAATCATATGCCAAATGTAATTGATTAGAACAGTTTTCCATTTAACAGTACTTAAGGTTCAGTGACTCCAGAATGCTTAGAAAACATACACTTTTGGGTTAACAGTACATATTTTGAATGACCAGCACAGCAAAACAAATGCAATGATCTCAAAGTTATGAATGAAATATAATGTGGATGTTATTTATTTATTTATTTTTACCTCTGTCCCAGTAACATCTGCCAAAGCAATACAGTCCCACTGCCACCAACAGAGCACTAAATAAAATGGTGCAAACGATCCAGGGTGTTGCAGCAGAGGAGGAATGGCACATGTCTTTGTGACCGTCTGGATTAGCTATGTAATTTCCATTTTGAGAGTATAAACAATGGTTAGAAAAGAGAGCAAAGTTGAAATGAGAGAAGAAAGATGAACCACCCAAATATTCATGTTAGCTTCTTCATACTGCATTTAAAATTGTGTCACTCAAGTTAAAAACAGTTGTTTAAATCTGTCAGTATTTCATAAATATTGCCTACTGTACAAACAGATTTAACAGCTTTACTTGCATCAGCATGCATCCATGTCACATGTATGTATAGTTCATAAAAAAATATTTTAAACGTCTCAGTGTCTCACCTGTGACTTTCAGCCAGGTCTCTGGTGAGTCTCCAGCTCCTGAGATGTTACACTTGTAAAGTCCTTCATCTGACTCCGAAACTCTCTGGATGATCATGCTTCCTGTGGAGCTTCTATGGATGAGACGTCCATCTTTATAGAACTCAGATTTAAAGTTGGAGGATGCAGTTTTGTTCCTGCAGCTCAGAGTCACAGTTTCTTCCATTAACACAGGAACAGCAGGACTCTCCAGGATCACAGGACCATCTGCAACAACAAACATTTGATATTTATTCAATATTAAACTTATTTAAAATTAATCATTAAATATTCTCTCTGGAAACATACCAGTGACACGGATTTTGATAATTTTGCTTCTTGTACCCCCTTTAGTCTCATACCAGTATGCTCCACTGTCGTCTGTATAAACATTTTTAATCGTGCAGGATGATCCTGTTGGTGTTGTCTTATTAGTTTTACTACATGATTCTACTTTCCCTTTGAATTTATGCACAACTTCACAATAATCGACTCCTTCACAGTGAAATGTTACTGATTCATATTCAAAGAACTGCAATCTGTTTGGAACAACACGGAGAGAAACTGCATCTGAAACAAAGAAAAAAGAAAGACTCACTTTGCAGTTTTACTATTAAAACTGATGTGCTAAACTTGAGCTTGACCAGATAATGAGGTTCACTAAAATCACAAAAGAACAAATTATATTGCTTTCTACTTTTCTTCTGAATTGCTCTGTCCTCTAAATGTTAAAAAATGTTCATATAGACAAGCAAACAGCTGGTACTCACCAACCTCTTGATCCTGTACACCCATCAGAATCATGATGGTCATCACTGAAAAGATATAAAAGAACTAAAGATTTACTAAGATACTTGTTGACTTTTACAGCTATGAGTAAAATTGTTTTTAACTTAGCTTGTGGAAATAGATAAAATACTCACAGAGTATGATGCAGAAAGATCTGGAGTCCATGTATTGATGCAGAGTGAAGACAGCCATTAGCAGAGAGCATTTATTAAAACAATTTTAATACTAAGTAAATATTTTTAGGACTTAATGCAATAATCTAGATGTAGAAAATGAATTTGAAAGAAGCTGAATTGCTTTTGTGTTAAGTCAAGCCTCACTGTTTCAGTTCACTAACAGTGAGTGAAACAAGGAACCAATCCAGACTTAGTCACGTTTTATGCAATTTGTAGGCAGGTTTATGTTTCGCATGATCACATCCTCAGTTTCAGGGACTTTTCTGCAATATGTCACAAAGATGAACAATTTAAGCAAAGTTACTTTAAACATTATTTTCATTTGATTATTTCTTTCTGAAAAGTAGATTCAGCAGGATGCTGCAGTGCAAGGAGAAAATTCTTGGCTCACATACACAGACTGAAAGAGAAAGCGAGTGTCAGCTTTCTGGGAATCATAAAAAAAGAAAGAAAGAAAAAAATGCTGAATGACTTGGTGTAATAATAAATACTAACAAACAATAATAATAAAGTAAAATCACATAAATCACCTTTCCTGCCTGTTCTGATACTCAATTTGAATTCCACCAAGTCTTGAACTGGTACCCAATGAGTCTACCTAAAGTGGCTGATGAGTATACAGACAGACATGTATACATATAAGCAGCAAAAGTGAGCCATAAAAAAGCCATTTGGTAATATGTGTCTGTGTAGCTGTTTTACCAACACAACTTTAAAGAAATAGATGCAGCCCTTTTAGATAAAGATACTTCTAGTTCCCAAACAAAGCTCTAGTTTTAAAGTCAAAGTAAGAACAGAGAGTTATGTAACTGTTTGTGGGCACATAAGCACACCTGACTTTAGTTGGGTGAGGAAGTAGCGCTGCAAATGCAAACAAGGTCGTCAGAACAGGAACCAGTGTGGTCTTCTGACTAGCAGAAGTTTTGGGCTTTTGATCATAAAAACTGATGTATGACATTACAACAGAACATAAATCACACAGAAACAAATACACTATCCCTCAAACACTAGTTGTAGATTGGCTGAATTTATTGTCAATATTTCCAAATTATACTTTGTGCCAAATAACATAATCAAACTCGCAGTTCGTGAATCACAGACAACTTAGTATGATCTCGAGTGAGCGTTACCACTGAAAATAACAATAATAATATGACATTATTTTTGCAGCAATGCAGCTCTTTTGCATCCTCCGAAATTAACATTTGTTTCTCAAAATATTTAAAGTTAAATAGTCTGCAAGGTATCAAAGTATGTATCGGGCTAATATGTGCATTGTATGGCCATACATACAAAGTATATACGTAAAATACAATCAGAAAAAAAAAAGGAGAGAAACATCAAAGTTTGTAAAAAGTCACAGGTCATGTGGCCACAAACATGCCACAGAATCCATTAATAGAGAAGCTGAAACACTGTGGTTACTTTAAAGTTCACCAGAGTTACAGCAGGTGTTTTAAAAATTGCATACATGACTTAATATTTATCTAATGACTTAATTTCTTAAAACAGTGACAGCACAAGATGCACCTACTTCTGGAACCTTACAAATACAGCATTTAAGTGCATGGGAGATATTTACCAATAAGCTTTCATTGTTCTATACAGTGGCTGAATCTTTTTTTTTTTTAATCATGATATCCCACAATGCTTCAGGAGGTGGAGATTTTTACAAGTTACCTTTTAGTTAGAGTGAAGTTTTGTTTTGGACAAAGGTTTTGGACTGCTATTGACAACAATCGGGTTGTGTTGGTATCACAGCTTAAAATTTAACTCTAAAAACTATGAATTTCCAATTCTGACTAAAACGGATTATACAGGGTGGGCCATTTATATGGATACACCGTAATAAAATGGGAGTGGTTGGTGATATTAAAGTCCTGTTTGTGGCACATTAGTATATGTGAGGGGGCAAACTCCTCAAGATGGGTGGTGACCATGGTGGGCATTTAGAAGTCGGCCATCTTGAATACAACTTTTGTTTTTTCAATAGAAAGAGGGCCATGTGACACATCAAACCTATTGGTAATGTCACAAGAAAAACAATGGTGTGCTTGGTTTCAACGCAACTTTATTCTTTCATGAGTTATTTACAAATTTCTGACCACTTATAAAATGTGTTCAATGTGCTGCCGATTGTGTTGGATTGTCAATGCAACCCTCTTCTCCCACTCTTCACACACTGATAGCAACACTGCAGGAGAAATGCCAGCACAGGCATCCAGTATCCGTAGTTTCAGGTGCTGCACACCTCGTATCTTCACACCATAGACAATTGCCTTCAGATGACCCCAAAGATAAAAGTCTAAGGGGGTCAGATCGGGAGACCTTGGGGGCCAATCAACTGGCCCACGACGACCAATCCGCTTTCCAGGAAACTGTTCATCTAGGAATCCTCGGACCTAGCACCCATAATGTGGTGGTGCACCATCTTGCTGAAAGAACTCAGGGAACATGCAAGCTTCCGGGCATAAAGAGGGAAACACATCATCATGTAGCAATTTCAAATATCCAGTGGCCTTGAGGTTTCCATTGATGAAGAATGGGGCTAGTGGGTTAGTGTCAGACCAATAGCGGTGGTTTTGTTTGTTGACTTCACCATTCACATAAAAGTTTGCCTCATCACTGAACAAAATCTGCGTAAACTGAGGGTCCTGTTCCAATTTTTGTTTTGCCATTTTGCAGATTCTGTGCCGATCTGGGTCATCCTCGTTGAGATGCTGCAGTAGCTGGAGTTTGTAAGGGTGCCATTTTTGAGTAGCTAATATCCGCCAAAGGGATGTTCGACTAATGCCACTTTCCAGTGACATGCGGCGAGTGCTACGCTGTGGGCTCTTGCTGAATGAAGCTAGGACAGCCACTGATGTTTCTTCAATAGTGACAGTTTTCTTGCGTCCACATTTTGGCAAATCCAACACTGAACCAGTTTCACGAAACTTGGCAAGCAGTTTGCTGACTGTAGCATGGGAGATGGGTGGTCTCGTAGGGTGTCTTGCATTGAAATCTGCTGCAATTACTGCATTCACCAGATATCAACACAATTTCGATCCGCTCCTCACGTGTTAACCTCTTTGACATGTCAATGGCTGTGAACAAAGAGAAACTTGTAAATAACTCATGAAAGAATAAAGGTACGTTGAAACCAAGCCCACCATTGTTTTTTCTTGTGACATTACCAATAGGTTTGATGTGTCACATGGCCCTCTTCCTAAAAAAACAAAAGTTGTATCCAAGATGGCCGACTTCTAAATGGCCACCATAGTCACCACCCATCTTGAGGAGTTTGCCCCCTCACATATAGTAATGTGCCATAAACAGGACTTTAATATCACCAACCATTCCCATTTTATTACGGTGTATCCATATAAATGGCCCACCCTGTACATGAATGTGAGATGAAGCTACCTGGAGTTACTCATGCATGTTTTAAACTAAAGATAATAAAAGCAACAAGGAGCCTTTCACAACTCTTTGTGGGCGTATGTACTACATCCACAAATCTTGCCTTTCATCATCCTTTTCCCCCCTGGCAGCTCCATGCAATATATCCACTACCCTTCCTCTGAATATGTCCAAACCATCCCAGCCTTGACTGGAAAAAAAAAGTCAGAATTTCGTTTGATGATTATTGATTTCTGAAGCTACAGTTGGATGGTTGAGGAACAGTGAGATGCTTTTCATGTCAAAATGGACCAAAATCTCTGAGGAATGTAACAGAGGGTGCACTATTTTTTCCCCTTCACTTTGCAGAAATTGAATCATGTCTTAATTTAAGCCCAACTCTAGAGTGCATCATGAAAAATTATTTCTTTCTTTTTTCAGGTGAGAAAAGAAAAAACAAGAAACATGTTACATGCAGTTTTCACTGTACACGTGTGGATGACACTTTTATGGATTTATCATGGTTTAGGTCACATAATTAAACAATTTTAATGACTAGAAAATATTGTTTGGCATTTATTGGTGTTACGTCCCCACAAATAAGGTCTAGGGGAAGGTGTGGAGCAATAACAAACAGGAAAAAATGAAGAGGAAACCAAACAGAGGTGTTTAGCCCATATTAAGGTTTTATTTGACACAATCTTAACACAAAGAGACTGCAACAACGCTTTATCAATAAGTCAAAAAAGGAAAATGGTCACAACAACAAAGAAAACAGCAAATTAAGATGCACTTTCGAAGGCCCACAGGCCCAGCCCGTCGCTAGCTGCAGCAAGCTCTACTGCTGTTGAGGCCCACAAGTAGTGAGGTGAGTAGTAATATACCTTCACTTTTTCCCCCCCACCCTGCGCGTCCATGTGAGTGCATGTACATGTGTACTGGCTTTGCGCGTGAGTTCAGGGGTCATGTGAGTTCATAAGTGTTTAATTGCGTTTTATTTAATGAAACCATTATGTGTTTTAATTAAACTGTTTTTAAGGATTGTATAGGTCTCAGCGCTGTTATTTAGACATAGATGATTTAATTTAACTAGTTTAGGAAAATTTCACTTTCTTTAGCGCTCTAAAAGACTCAGAGGCTAATAGTTTTTAAACAGAGTACCACAAACAACATGTATTCCCTAAGAAATAAACTTTTCTTGTGATACATCTAAAACCACATATTCACACCTAGCCACACTAACACTGTATCAACCCCCTACAATTATCTAGTAGCCACACTCTGTAACAGTAAGACTCAACTACACATAGGGGGTTACAGGTAGGGCCCCATGTGACACACACCTCTCCTCTCTTGAAACTGGTAGAGACTGGCTTTAAATAGGGCCATCAATTTCCCTCCAATTGCCCAGCCAGTACCACTCACTCAAACTGAGGGATCTAAAACTCTACACAGATGACCTAAAAACACAAAACCTCTACACACTTCTAATATGCACATTTAC